CTAACGTTGACTTCTGCAAGAAGGGCGTGGCACAAGCAGTCTCTTTTATAATCGGGAGAGGATCTTAATGAGCAGCAGCTGAGCGTAATTACCTCCTGTAATTATGTAGTTGTTCTTGACACCGAGTAGCTCTTTGCTGGTGTGCATCCCGGAACACCTCACAGTTGGTTTCTGGATCACTCTCTCTTCTCTCCTCCCCACTGATCCAAGGCTCAGGCGCCTTGCTCGGAGTCGGTGGCCAACCAGTCTCTCTGCGCCCTGCTCGGAGTCGGAACCCTGTCCAGGGTCCTCCACATTCTCCAGGGCCGACTCATAAGGCCCCTCGCTGTCGGAGTCTGGTGGCAGCTCCAACGGCTCCTGCCGGACCACAATACTGAAATTTTGCTTTCTCTGTATGCATTTCAAAGACAGAGATTAGGAACATTCATTTATAAGGGTTTCCTTGACATTTTTGCTCGTTTCCTAAGACAATGAAGATTATAATTATTCTGAGGTAAAACAGTGAAGTTTAGTTTCCATCTTTGAACATACTTCATCACTAAATGTCAGAGAGTGCAGATAAACGAAATATCAACTACTCTCATTTTGCATTGCTGCCAAATTCTCCATGGAGATAAAACCAAACCAAAATAGGAAAATCATCATCTAATTAAATTATGAACTAGGGGAGTGTGACATAAAAGTTAGATCACATCCTGACTTTAAAAAAGATTGCACCAAAAATAGTCCACCATTTTCTTAATTGCTTTTTCAGATTTCAAGTAAAATACTGAGGGGAAGAAAAAAACTGAGGGGAAGAATGTGAGAAAGACGAAAGAAAGGAACAGTGGATATAATCACAATCACATGACTAGAATTATTCCACATTGAGGGGGTGAAGAGGTTTAGGAAGAGACTGTTGCTATGGATCCAAGAGAAACAGTAATATCGTCTACTATTCATTTCATTTTCAGCATAATTATCATATTAGGCTTCTCAGTGAAATTTATTTTTTAAATAATAGAATTGTCTTAGGTTCACTGACAGGCAATAATGGAAATAAACAAGTATCTTCTAATATTCTCCCTCTGTCTCCCAAAAGATCTCCTTAATGCAGGCTGATTTTTCATTTAGGTAAGAAAAATCGGATATTGGTTATAAAGGCAACCTTTAATACAGACTGTGGGCACTTCACGTATTTTAATAATCAACATTTCAAAAAAGAAGCAACACAAAAAATTAGCATACCTGAAAATGATAGACCATATTCAAATAAGGTAATATTCTATTAACATGCTTTAATGGCAGCCAACCTTCCTGAAATTTAGATTATATGTCAGTTCAGATTCTGAAAAATACAATTCCTTATTTTATACCTATAATTACACCATCCAGCAGGTAATTTGGTTATAATATAAAAGTGCTTAGAAGTTTTAGACCAGAGCAGAAAATCTAAATTGTAATATTTTTATCTATTTCTTCACTGAGCTTATTTACCCAGAAGATGATAAAGTACAGGTATTAAAAATCAAGTTCATAATTTTGCTTTCCATTCTTAGAAATATAGCTTCACAGAGAATGTGTGTGCCTACTTCTGTGTTTGTTTATATATTGCTGATAAACATTGCTATTTCAATACCAGCAAGCACACACAACGTTTTTTACTGCTTTGTCCTGGTTAACAAATGCTAACACTTACCCCAGGAGACATTATTTCCTGTACAACAGATAGTAACTCTCAAGAGATCTTTCTTAATTAATTAAGTCTAGAAGTCTTAAAATCAAGCTCATTTTAAAATTACCACTTTGCTTTCCAACATCAGACCCATATAGAATCCATCAATATTGAATATTGTCTTGTATTTTCTGTCTGCAGAAAGTAGAGGCTAAACCAATTTTGTTTTATACATGATGTACAATGACAATAAAGGCTGCTATTATTATTATTATTATTATTATTATTATTATTATTATTATTATTATTGTTGTTGTTGTTTGTTTGTTGTTACTATTACTATTATTACTATTAATTAGAGGAGGGTAAAAAAGGGACTCACGCAGACAGAGTTGGGCGACGTAGGCATAGTAAGACCAGGCCAGGATGCTGCAGATGAAGAGGACCGGCACCCAGTAAAGAAAAGGACCAGCACGCCGCCACAGGCAGTATCGCCTCCCGCCTCCTATCTGAGAGCAGCTGCGGGAGGAAGCCACCGACCCCGCCGGAGACGCCATATTCCCGCGCCCCATCTTCCCTTCTCCGATTAATCAGCCCTTCCGTCTGCCAGGAGGGCCCGGGCCCACACCGCACATCCCGGGCGGCAGAGACGGCGGCAGAAGAGGCTGGCTGGTTCCAGCGCTTCGTCGCCTGCCCCTTCAGCGCAGCCTTCCTCGGGATCAGCGAAGGCTGTTTCTCCTTCCCACGATCGCCTCCAGCCACCGACCTCTCCTCCCTCCCGCTCAGCCGTCCGTCAGTCACTGAAGAAGGTCCAGCCGCCCACCTCTGAACCGGGGCCGTGGAAAAAGGGGGTGCGGCTGAGGACTCTCCCGCTAACACCCCGGGCTGCTCGCATTGACGGCTCACAGGGCGAAGGGCGGGGAGAGGAAAGACGACCCCTCCCCCCGCTCCGCTTAGCAGGAGGCGGCACGGGCTTTCGGGATCCATCCCTCCTGAGAAGGTCCGAGGGATTGGTACCTTGTTGGAAAGGTGTATACAAGGACCGTGGGACACCTGCTGCAATTCCCCTTGCCCCTTCGTCCGCTCTTCAGCCTTTTGGCAACCGTTAGGCGGTAAACTTTCCGCCAGTAAGCTAATCTACATCAAATCCCTGCCTACAGTAATGTTTGGGACTTTGTCTTCGGATGGGAAGTTGAGAATAAAGTTACTGGCTTGGAATGAATGGCAAGTTTGAATAAATATGACATAAGAGAAGGACCTTTTTCTGCGATGTAGCAATCTGCCATTCAAAAGGAAATTTAAATGAAATCGATTTTTTATAACGATCATAGGCCAGCACATAAGAAATTCATTTTGATAAATTAATTCCTGCAACACACCACTAATGTAATAACATAACAGCATGAACTCCCTTTGAAATTTAGACTTGTCATCTTGATCTTTTAAATTGTATCCTGGTCTGTGCTTTATACTAAGTCATATATTACATATGCTTACATAAATATGTTATATATATGCCAAATGAAATGTAATGCCCAACACTTGGTTTGCAAATCACAGTAGTTGAATCCTCACCAACCCGTTTAATTGATAGCTTAATTCATTGTGTGAAGGATGGCTGGTTGCCATAATGCCATTGAGAAGTTTCACTTATTTTTGAATTTGTAAAATTAAACCAGCATATTTAGGTCAATTCCTACTGACCTAAATATGCTGGTCAATATTGACTACATGAATATTCATGTTGCTTTCTTGACAATAATATGGTAGTTGACTAGTATTTTCTTCCAGGATTTCTTTTTGATTTTTCTAGTTTGGTTGGGTTACATAGTTTTTCATCGTTTCTCCATTTTGGCTTTCTTTTTGTAAAAAAAATGACATAGTTTAATATGTAATGTGTTGTTGTTCATCTGAGGTTGTCATAATCATTTTAGCCATTGTCTATTTATTGTAGGATGAAGGTCTCTTCCGTGTTTCTAATCAATAGAGTCCTGAGCTTTCTTTTGCCAATTGGGCTCGCAATACTTGCTGATATTGTTGATCCATTTTGTTTTAGTTCTCTTTTGTGGATCCTTTTTATCAAGTGGAATTCATTCTATGACTGTCTTGGTCCACCTGCCATCAGTTCTTCTTGCTAACCAGCCCATTTCCATTTCAATTCCTTTACTCCCTTGATGATATTGTATACAGTACTTTCATTTCTATCTTGTCTTGTAATGTCGAGCATTTATCTTTCCATGGCTCATCGTTTTTGTATTGTGAGATTAGTGCCATCTTTAACCAGAATATTTTTAAGAACTGTTAAGGACCAGATTTTTACTATGTCCTGATACACAGAACTATAGTACTTAAAGAGGGTGTAATTTCTCAGTACTCCATTTATTCTAAATTCAGCTTCTATTTTTCTCTATACATATATAATCTCATTTCCATAAAGGATGTGGAAAAAAGCACACATTTGTCCAGTTTAATTTTTTTCAATAAACATAACTTGTACTAGATCAGAGATTATCTACTATTTTATATGAGAATTGACTTGTTATAAAAAGTTTCCATCCATTTCCCCATGTTTCTTAAACATACTGCAAAGGTGCACAAATTTATATATTTGTTCTAATTTTTGCCATTTATTTCAATTTTTATTTATTCTCTATCCCAAATGAAACTATCTTTATTATTTTCATTTTCACATCTAGACTTGTATTACTCTGTAATTTTCTGAAAATACATGTCATTGGCATTAAAACACTTCCTTAACCAACAATTTCTAACATCAGTGAAACCATTTCTCATGTTTATAGTAAATAAGCAAGGGGATACTTCATTTCTATTATTAACCACTCAGTGTTGAATTGGCCACTATTTTTCATACTTTATATACATCATATATTACTGTATTCAAATTTAACAATCAGAATCTTTCATACATCAGGCTTATATACATTATTGTATGTTTTGTCTAAGTAATCAAGCATACAGTAAGCTTATTATATTCTTACATAAAATAATAGACAGGACTGATTATAATGAAAATAATGTCTGAATTAATTTTGCACTTTTTTCACTTTTAATAACAGCCATGTAAAAGTACATATTTTGAAGAAAAATTCAAATACATTTTTTTTGTTTTTATTCATAGTGGTCTTATTTCTAAAAGCAAAACAATATCTCCCCTCTATTTGAAATATGGACAAGTATCCAGTTTATCCTAAATCATCTTCTATGTTCTGCCTAAAATTTGCTACTTTAAGGCTGTTTCAGCTTTTCTGTTTTTAGTTTATGCATTTTAAGAAATCTTTTTGTTAATTCAGTATGACACCATAAACTTAGTTATGTATCATCTAATTTAATTGATTCTAATTAACCTATAAGAGCTTCTTAATAGAAGGTGAAAGGTGTTTGGTGAAAAAAAGTTATCATTAAGTTATCATTCTCCATACTGCTCTCTGCAGTCTAAAAACTGTATTCTCCCATATCTTACACATTTTTAAGACGGAGAAGACAGAGAAGCATTTCCTCTTCATGTAGCAAAATGTTTAGATCAAGTCCAATATAAACCTCATTCCATGATTATGGTTTTTATTTTAATGAACTAATTAGATGCATAAGAACATAAGTAATCTCTGACTTCTGGCTATCAGCTAATGTAGAAATCCAATCTCTGTTAGATTGGTTCATAGTAGATTTAAAGTATCCTTCAAAAACTGGCAGTACAGAAAGAAGCAATGTGGTTCAACCCTGCTTATTAGTACATCTATTCATTTAATAGAAACCAGTATTACAATAGTGGAAATGTGGATAGCTCTGCCAGGTAACTGGTAATCATCTGAACAAATCTTTGGATCACAAATGAAAAACTGTATTGCATTTATGTATTCAGGAGCTATAAGAAAATTGTAGCTCTTGATTATTTTAAAGAACAAAAATTATATTCAATAATTTATGCACCTGATTTATCATTGTTATTTTGCTATTTTTGGAAACTTTGATATTTTAGTGTTTGATATAGCTAGAGCCCTACTAAATTACTGTGAAAAAGCAGAAACGAGGAAGGAATATTATCCTTCCAGCTTCAGGGTTTATTTGCGAGACACAGAGGCTATGGATGAACAGTGCCTCCCAGCTCTCATTACCATGCTCACTCTCATATAGAGCTGCAATCTAAGTGAGCTAATGTTATGCATTAATGCAGAAGTATCAAATTTTTGACATGTTGTCATGTGATGTATCGCAGCTTCGCCCCCCTTCACTAAACGGGTTGGGGTGGTCATCATGTGACACATCTGGCCTGCAGGCCGAGTTTAACACCCCTGTATTAATGGAAGCTATAGTTATAATCCTTTTGCTGATATAATGATATGAAATAAATCTTGTAGGTAAAAAAAACTTTACTAAGTTTTGAGGCTGAATATGGCTAGATATTTCTACAGGTATTGCATTTCTTTTACAGTTATGAAAACCAGATAAATAGCAGAACTTTAAAAAGCCAATGTATGTTTTATGTCAGTGACCTGAATTCTCTTCATTTACCGACTCTAAAGTATTTTAGCAGATTATCTAAAGAAAGCACAAAAAAGAATAGTTTGGAATCTAAACAGTGACTTTTGCTTTTGATAAGGAGATCTTTGGTGATTCCTCATATTATCACAACCTATGGTTTCAGAAGGGAGCAGCAGTTGGGAGAAGCTAGGGCAAGAGATCCATCTTGTCAACAGAATTTTGCTCAGTTTGTTAGTATCCAAGCTGTTTCATGAGCAGCATACAATAAATAAATAAATATACATTTATTTTGTATTATTATGCATCATTATAACATTTAAAATCAATATGCTTTGATCAATCTACAATGATATAATAAAGTGCTGGAGTAAAACTACCATCTTGAGATCAAATAAATTGATAAGTACTTAATTTGATTTAATCTGAATGCCAATAATGAAAAATATCAGAATTGAATTTAAAAAAATCAAATTTAAATAGTCTATAGATTTTTCTTTAAAAAAATCTTAGCTTCTTTCTATACTATAAATCTTAATAATTCATAATGATAGCTTTACAATTTTTATCCACACAATTAGATTTTGTTTAAAAATGAACTTCATTTTATACTTTGAATATGTGTTCCTGTGATAACTCTAGAAATATTTTCTCCTATTTAATTGTAATTATTATAGGCACATTAATATCAGCTGAAGAAACAAAACTACAAAAATGGAATGGCATGAGAAAATAAACTATCGCTTGATTTTTAAAAATACATTTCTAAATACATCTATATTTTTATAGACTTCCTGACCATTTAAATGGAACAGTCTTACCTTGCTAAAAAATACTCCCAGGTAAATGTACTGATGAATGCTCAACTCATGCTATTTGTGAAGTGTTTATCCCTGACATGCGTTATGCATAACAAGTTATTAGATTGCTCTACCCTTTCTGTGCTGAAAAACCTTTAAAACATTTTCACATGTAACAGCACATACTTTTGTTTTTGATTTAAGGACTTACATTTCCATTTTCTCTACTAGCATAGGCTTAACATGACCAAAATATAATACTGAGGAAAAACATTAAATCATTATTCTAGTCTGGTGGAAGAAAGTGAAAATGAGTAAGAATCTGCAGATGACCAGTTAAAAAGTACATTACAGATTAAAAAATATACACATGAATCCTTTCCAGGAAAAGCAGATGAGTCGTATTTTGAATCATACAGGTAGAGTGCTTTAAGAATTAAAGTCCAGAATTTTGAGATATTGTTTCCTCTGAAAAATGTTTGGTCTAACGGTCTATTCCTGATTTCTGTGGTCAGTTTACAAAAGAAAAAGCAGCAAACTTTAATGTTGATCAAAAGTAGAGACTTCGCATTCATTTTAGCATATTTCAGTTCAGAAAGTGCTTCCAAAGTTTACAAAGTGCTTCCATATTACAGTCATCACGCAAACACCGTAGTTCTTCAACCCATATGCGAAGTCTTTCTATTAGGGAATCAAAACATAATTAATAGTGACACTACATAACAGTTACTGTATATGCAAATAGGATGAAAAAATAAGATTTATAAATCAGATGTCCCCAGCTGCTGAGGTCCACTACCGGGCCATGACTTATTTGCAAGCGGGGTGTGTGAGCGTTGAGCTGGTGCACACATGTGCACAGCTCAACTTATGCGAAGAGCAGGCCAGCACGTGCGCAGTTCAACTTGCTCAAGTTGAGCTGCACGTGTATGCCTGTGTAGGCCGGCCCAATGCTTGTGCTAGTCAAGCTGTGTGTGTCAGCCGCCTGACGCTCATATGGTCCAATTCCCTTCTGCCCCCTTCCTCCAGCTGGGCTGCCAAGCCACAAAGGTTGGGGACTATTATTCTAAATAATTCATTAAAATTACCATCGTAGTGAAAAATCAAAACAAAAATAAAAGTCATTCTCTCCAACCAGCTCAGTTAAATTATGTTCTAATTACTATGATTTTTAAAAATCTTTTGATTTTTTCCCTCAATATAATCCTTCACAACCAATTTAATAATTATTCATTCTTTGCAAGGCCTTACTAGATGTCTATTTTCTACCACTCAAGAAATATAAAAAAGTCTGTTTTATCCTTTGAAGCAAATACTTTAACTTCTTGCCACAATTGTTTGGTCTATTTTAGCAATTAGATGCATTTTCAGGAAACAGCACTGTCACAGTTTTGCATGATGAAATATATAAAACTACATATTTAAAATGTTTGAAAATAAATAAGCTATAGTCTTATAAGTGAATTACAGAAGGAAGGAATATTGTTTAGGTCTATTCCCTGACCACCGCAGGTATCCATAATGCACCATCCTTATAAAAAGCTGGCCATGCAAATGGTTCAAGCATTCTTCAGTTAGGAATAGGAATTTTGTGAGATCTCATATCAAAACACACAGACTGTGTGATTTGGCTGTGGCCATTGTGTTGTGTAGTATGAAGGGCATTTGGCAGTCTCTAAAGATGTATTTTGTTTTCAATCTCACTCAACTCAGAATTATGTTGGTGGCACAACATTTTGCATGTTTAGAATACTGTATGTAAAATGTGATACAAATACTTTTTTCACAGTTGGCTCAATGTTTTACACAAAGGATTAGGTTTATAATTTGACTAAGTTTATAATACTAAAGTGGTTGTCTCTAATTAATAAAGTTAATTCCACTTGCCAATTGAAAAGCAAGTTGAACTCTTCCTGTCAGCAATCTTAGAAATACTGCCCAAGAACACAAAAACATACCATTGTCTGCTATTGAGTTCCTTCTTCATACAGGATTTGAAAGTGGTATATTTCTGTATGTTTTTGTAACCCTAAAAGCAGAAGACAAAGAAATATGCATGGAAAATTAGCATGCAAAGGCAGTCACAACTGATCATTAAGAAAACAGTGGCATGAAAAAAAATGCAATTTATCCATTATAGAAAAACAGTAAATTTATTGCAGAATTTAATGCTCATACAGCTACAATGCAACTACGTATGAGATTCCTATATAAAGAAAATGGATAATTTGGCAAAAAGTTTACACTAAAGTCTTCATTTAAAACAGAAGCTTTGTGCTTTATAAATAAAGATATAACATTGCTATCTTAAGACAAGAAAGTATTTACTTGTCTTATGTAATTTAATACTATATTCTTAGGCAATTCATTGATACAGCACAAGGTGGCAGTAGAACATATTGGACAAAATGAAAGAGATGTGATGTTCAAAATAACTTATAAAACAATATATGTGTGAGGGAAACTGTTTATTCAGAATTAGAGAAAGGTGTGTGTGTGTGTACATATATTTAGAATAATATTACAACAATATTCTAAATCTCTATTAGTTATTAACACAATACATTTTATAGCATTTTCACAACACTGTGACAGTATTTGCAGTAGGTGGTGTAATAAAGTAAATATTGTCACCACGTTCAAAAGCTGTGGGATTTTATAAATATATAAAGGAGTGTTAACTACATTTGAACAATCAATTGTAAGTATGTTAGGCAGGACGTATGTTCAAAAATGGCAGAAAAGGATTCCCCTTCCTCTTACTTGGCTGAATAATTGGGGACAGCGCTCAGCCTATACTTCATCCTCATTGCTTCTAGGCTGGCATTACTAAATGCCTTTTACTAGTCTGCTTGCTGCCTCTTCTCCACTCTAACCACAGTCTGCCACGTCCCTCTAAATGCCAAGGGGAGAGGTACCCCAATTTTAGAAAAAATTAACAACTGATTCTCATGGATTGGACTAAAAAACTCACTTGAATTCAAAATCCTAAAATATTATTTGTGAAGTTAATCCATCTTTAAAGTTCCTACAGTTCAGGTTCAGATCAAGTTGGAGTATGAAATGTGAAGTATCCTGCTTGATATACTTCCTTGATTCTAATAGTTGGCCTCACCCAAATAGCTTACATTCTGCTTCACTCAACAGCTATCAAAATGTGGAAAAGTGGAATGTCTTCAAACAAAGTATCAGAAAGTGGGACAGGAAAGAGTAGCAGCTAAAAATTAGAAAAAATGACAATGAATTGTATCATTTGTTGCTAAAGAGGAGGGGCAAATAGCAAAAGGAGGCAGGCCAATGCAAACTCTACTTCTTTTATATTAGCATCATGATATTACACATATATAAAAAGAGTCAAGATTGGGTTACAACAGTATAATCCTTATTTTAATGAAAATGATGGATCTTATGAACACACTGTGGGAGACGCTGTAACTAATTTTAAGAGAGCGACATAGCTTCACATTCCTCCAGAGACAATTCCCTTCCTTGGGGAAAAGTGTTAGGAATAAGTAGGGGAGCAAATTAATAAAAGATTCAAAGAGACCAAGTTAAAAAAAGAGAAAATCAGACTGAATAATTGTGAGAAAAATAGATAAAAGTTTCAGTTGTTTGGTTCAAACAAGTGCATGGCCCAATTTCTAAGCCATATATTTAAATGGTTGCTGGTTTTGACTTGTTAATCTAAAATATTTATACGTATTATAAAACATATTTGTCTTTTTAAAAAAATACCACAGAATTTATTGAGGTTTTGAAAAACATTTCAAGTCTGAGCTAATTTAAACTTGTAAATTAAATAAAAAATATACAAGATCTGCAGATTTATAGTATAAATCGTTTGTGACAAAATTAATTATACATATTAATAAATTGATTGTCCTATTAACCCATCCCAGTAAACTAATTTAATTTTATAAAAGCATTTCATATGCCTATACAAGTAGTCATCAACTTACAACAGTTGATTTAGTGACCATTCAAAGTTATGACGCTGAAAAAAGTGACTTACGACAGATTTTACACTTATGACCGTTGCAGTGAAACACTGCATGGTCACATTCTCAAAATTCAGACACTTGGCAACTGATTCATATGATTGCAGTGCTCTAGGGTAATATGATCACCTTTTGCCCCATTCTGACAAGCAAAGTCAATGGGGAAGTCAGATTTACTTAACAATCATGTTACTAACTTAAAAACTGCAGTGATTCACTTAACAACCTTGGCAAGTAAAGTCATAAAATGGGACAAGCCTCACTTAACAAATAGCAATAGAAATTTTGGGGTCCATTGTGGTTGTAAGTCGGGGACTGCCTGTATTGTTTATAAATTATAACAGCAAAATTAAAGTTGCTAAATATAAAACTGAAGATCAGCTTGATTAATAGTAAGGCTTGTAGTTTAAGCCTGCAGAAGAAACAAACATCCAGTCGCCTAAATTAGTGATTGGTTAGAACTAGAGCATACATGATTAATAGTTTTAACTTCAACAAAAGAATAATTTTAAAATGGCTATGGGAACAGTGATACAGTTTTAAAGCTGCTGATGTAATAAACATGATTAAGCAATAATTTAGACTCTTACTCTGAATCCTCGATGCAATCTGTCTTTCATAATACCAATAAATTCTTTGTGACTCAGTTGATCATCCTTGTCTACATCAAAGATTTTGAAAACTGTGTTCACTAAATGAGCTGAAAGCTTCAAACCAGTAGCCACATACACTGCACGCTTGAATTCATCTAAGAAAAAAAAGCAAATTAGTGTGCTGAACAAAGTACTTGATGGCTTGGCGATAGCATTACATGATAAATATACCAAAAAAATACTTCTATCTTACATAAGGTAATAATGTTAATCAGAGATCTGGGGGAAAATAATCTTTTTTTCTTATCTTCAGTTCCTAACTTTTCCTGAAATGTTGTTCACATTTTAAAACTATCCAACTTTCCGTATACTATTAAATCAATACAGAGTCACAGGAGTTTACAATAATAATTGACAAAGAGATAAAGCAAGGTATTGATATTCCACAAGGCCTGAAGAGCAGTGAGAAACAGTGTTTCCTGACTTCTTTTTTTTACTTTATGGTTCTGGGTTCAACCAAAGGCTGTTGCAGAAAGTACACAATGGACAGGCCAGTAACTGGACCATATGATCGTGTACAAAGTTAGTTTATCCCAGGTCCCCATTCCTTTGGCGATACAGAGTTATTTTAAAAACTAAAAATTTGAATGCCAGAATACTCCAATGCAGCTTCTGCTTATCCCAGCAGGATGCTGCCACTACAATGGAGGGTTTGTGGCAAGAAGATGTGCTCAATGACTGATAAGTGAGCCATCTTAGAGTAAAAGCAAACAGGCTCTATAGATAAATTTGTAGTAGCCTCGATCAGTTTTATATAATGGTTTACAAATTGCAACAGTTCATTAGGCCAAAACCAAAGCAATAAATTCATATTTTGATTTAGCTTGATGAATAAACCCAGCCTTTCTAGGTAGACTGGACATGAAACACAGCAGATGAGTTAATTGTACTGTATTATGAGGCTACATTTACAGAATCTTGCAGTTTGAAAGTGCAAATGTCCTTCTGTCTCTTTCTACAATATGGTCAGTTAGCATTTCTCTGCCTGTTATGTAGTTGCAGGCTCCCTTGTCCCCTTTTATCTGATCATTCCCCAGGCAGCAAGTCTTCTTCGCATTTCTCAGGGTCTCTCAAGGTTATTCCCCCCATAATAGAAGTGAAAAAAAAAGAATTCAATTTGAATAAATCAAGCTAGTTTTGATCAAAAATACTTATTTTCTTTTCAATTTTAGACATTTAGTTTCATTCAAAATTCTGTAATTATATTAGCGATACTTTAAATCAGTGCATTTAACAACATTTCAATAATTTTAATAACTGATTTTATTGGATATAATCCCTGGTATAGGGTTTCCAGTTTGAGCAGGGTGTTTGACTAGAAGACCAAGGTCCAAGATCCTTTACAACTCTGTTATTCCTAATATTACATGAGAATTCAAGCTCTATTTTTAATGAAACAGTTGATGCAGAAATGTGGAAGGACAGCTAAATAAAAAATATGAGTTTTTCTTCTACTACATGGCATATGACTTTGTTGCTTGAGCGACTGTTTCCCTGTTTCCCATAATATCTCCTTGGACAATTTGATTTTGCAAGATTGATATCTATCAGGACTTGGCAAACACACCTTCTCTATGGCAGCCCCTGCCTTTGGAATGAGGTTTCCTCTGAGCCCTGGATGGTACCTACTCTGGTATTATTTAGAAGAATCATGAAGACCTGGCTCTTTGCCTAAACCTTTGGCAGGAAAGTATGAAAACCTTTTGGTTTGTTCTTGCAGTCTTTCATTCTCGCTAACTTTTTATTTTAATTGTGTATGTCAGTATTTTCTTTCTTTTAATTTAATTTAGTTGTGAACTGCACAGAGTCATTGGGAGTTGGATAAAATACAAAAGTGATAAATAAGAAAAATAAATAAATAAATGAAAAGCATAAAATCTTGACATTAGACAGCCTTACCTTGTCCTATTGAACGATTTGCAAAATTGTACATTTGCATTGCAATTGCAAAATCTTCCAGATTGTTCAAAAACTGGAAAAAGGATCTAAATTCATCGAATGTAATGCCCTGTGAAATAAAGTAACATTAGACCTTAGAAACAAGATGATAGTTGCCATAATGCCTTCTTTGTCTTGCAAAAGGCTTGTAGTAAAAAAGAAGCAGGCAATTTAGCTTCCTTTACTTATTAGAACACTGTTGCACTGGTGTCTCAGGAAAAACTGGTAGCAATAAAACAATTCCTCTGTCTCTTGTCTTTTTAAAATATATTCTAAAATATTTAATAATGTTTGTTGTCTAGTGTCTGTCATAATGTGTATACTGTATATAGGTGTGTGTGTGTGTGTGTGTGTGTGTGTGTATAAAGCCTTCAAGCAGTAAGAGTAAAATTTATAGCAAGTTAAGGAATCCTGTGTATTTAATATATTGCTGTTTTTATTCGCTTCAGAAATAATAGATTCAGCTAAATTAAAGTTTATTATGCTGTCTAATTATTCATTGGCATGGATCAATGCCAACAAAACATAACTGTAAATGTTATTTTTAATGCAGTAATAACAGGGGTTTATGACTGGCTATGGCTTATTAAAAGATAATAAGAGTATAACAAGGGAATATATAATACCCTGCTGTAAAAATGATTTGGAAGAGAAATTTCTGTATGATGTAAAGCACTGAGACTCATTTCACATTTTCACTTATTAACCTAACTTCTATATGCGCTTTTCAGAATAATTTTCAGGATAATTTCTTTCTAGCACTACCAATTCAATTCCAAAACAGGGATTATCTCCTGAAATTTGTGATGGCAATTGATTATCAGAATTAAGAAAAAACATTTACTGTACATCTTTTCGTTGGTCTCTATTTTATCAGCCTATGTGTTCTGTATCCTATTTTGTTCACCTACTAGAATTCCACAGGTTAACTGTAGATGAAACAAAATAAAACAGTAGTTAGTTAGATTATTGATTTATTTCATTTGTTTATCAAAGTGTATCTGGTTTTACAAACCACACAACAAAATTTGATCGTGTTCATAGAAACTGAATTGTTAGGTCTGTTAAAAATAGCTGGTCACATGCTTTTTTATACAATATGCCATTTTTTTAAAAAAAAAGTTTTAAATTTTATTTACAAACATGTAAAATACACATACACAAAACTTAAATGTACATCACATTTACACAATACAATATGAACAGGAGCGTTCTGTTCTTTCTAATAGCAATTGCCAATCGATATCGCTCACCTTATATTGTTTCCCCTTCTATTATATTTCATTTGTATTTCACCATTCTTAATCCTCTTATTTTACTCCTCTGTCTGCTATCTTGGCTGATTACCTCTAGTAAGTTTAAACCACTTGGATACATATATATGTGTGTGTGTGTTAATTCTCCTTAACTACTATTTTTGAGGAGTAAAATAAGAGGGTTAAGAATGGTGAAATACAAATGAAATATAATAGAAGGGGAAACAATATAAGGTGAGCGATATCGATTGGCAATTGCTATTAGAAAGAACAGAACGCTCCTGTTCATATTGTATTGTGTAAATTCTCCTTAACTACT